CCCCCCATACTAGTATATTGAATAGCAAGTGTGCATAAAGGAGGGGAACCTTACCTCCAGATTATGTGGGGGATTTGGAGATGTTGATGGATGTATACCTATCTAAGCACAATATAGGAGGAACAGAATTATTTTACAACAAATATATTGTTCACTTACCTCCTAATACAAGGTAGCTCTAATCTGTCAAGTTTCAGAATTCCAACAATGGGGCCCTGTAATTGTTCTTCTAGGATTTTGGGGATGTCCATGGTATTCCTATTCCCTGATTTTGTATAATAATAGTTTAAATTTATGTTTTAACTGGTATATTTATTGTACTTAGTGTCAAAGGCCATTACATTTACGAGACCGCTACACAACCAACACTTTTTGTCACTGTTTATAATGATTTTCCTGGTAATACAAGCTCTCGTAGTTCCAAATCTTTGATCTTCTGCTGCTACCTTCGGTTTGAAATTATGCTAGATCTTGACACTGCTGCCTCTAGATGCTTCTCTGTTGCTTTTATGTATTAAACATTTAATAAACTTCAACAGTTGCTGTATACTTTTTGAATAAGAGGGCTACATTTAGTTCTGCAGTCCAAAATCTTTTCACCTTATTTCTATGTTGCTTTGTGTTTCTAGTTTCTACTTAAGATGGTTCTGCTTTTGTGATAGCCTAACAAGCGAACAGATTATTAATTTTGATACTAATGTGTCAAGGAGTTTCCATTTTGCAATGGAAGATACACTGGCAAATAACAAAATTTGAAAATGGAAAAGAAGAATCACTTGATTTCATATACTTCGCCTTTTATTTCCTTTGAAAAAAATATTGACTAGTAACTGAACTGTTTGTTAGCTGGAAAAATATTTCCAGTATTTATGCCATGCTCCATTTAATGTCCAATGTTATACATTTATATTAAGACACCAATATGCTATGGTATTCAAACTTATATTTTTCTTCCAATTTAAGCAAGAGTTCATTGCAGGATTAAACTTAAACAAGATAGGACAGTTTTTCTTACAACAATACTGAAGCGAGAATTCCCTCTCATCAGTGACTAAATTTTCCAGGATCCTTTATCTTGTAATCCAGTTTATGTCTATTCATGCTCTAATGCACTAGTTTATGGTCTTTCTTATTAAGTTGAAGCAACTTTTGGCTTCATTCTGTTTTTGCTTTTTAAGCATATGGAAGACAATTTCCCCTTTTTCCTCGTGCATCACACTAATGGTCTCTCTGCCTTGAAAGCTTGCTGGTTTTTCCTTATTTTGCTTTGTAACTTCTGAAAATCTATGGTCTTACCTGGGAATGCGTTTGTCTGTCTTCAGGAGGCTTCTCCCACAGGAATTTATCCACACCTAGATACGCCTGGCCTTCCTCATGATAGGAATTTGAGCCCTCAGTTTCCAAGACAGAAGCAGTGGCTTGTTGGACTTCAGGTTCATTTCGTAGTTTTCACTTTTCTTTTTCTGTTTAGATTGAGTAGTAAATAGAAGCTTATGCATTGTTAGGGGGATCCCAATTTTGACACTCATTCTTAACACTTTCAATGGGGAAATGTGCTAAATATTCATGATATGAATTTTGGGAAAAAACGATTGCGTGCAATTTTCCAATCCATACGTAGTAAGATATTATGAGTTTCATCATCATAACATATTTGTTTCTTTGTCAGTCTCCTGCACATCCGCGAGAGATAATGACACGGGTTCTTAAAGTTATGCAAGAACTCAGTGTTAGGTGGAAAAAGATTGGGCACTATAACATGAAGTGCCTCTGGATTCATGGTTTTCAGTACCCCGAGAGTATGACCAATAATTATACAAATGCCAACCATTACCCGGATATTGTGATTCCCACCAATTCCGACGTTTTACAGACTCAGGCTGTGGTGAAGTTTGAAATTCAGGTATTATTTGTAATCTCTCTCTGTTTCTCTTTTTATTCTCAAACATTGTATTTTTCTTTTAGCACATTTAGTTATATTGACCTAAGATGGTAAAATTAAGAGACAAAAAAGAAGAGTTTGAACTTTGAAATCTGCTTTTCTCATTCATTCTTTCAATTTTCAGCATGCTCCCCTTATTTTTTTCCTTCCTGATCTTGCATAATATTACGAGTGAGAAATTGAGTATTTAAGCTCATAAGCCATGCATATCACAAAGACAATGATGTATGCTGATTTTTAGTTCGCAAGGGATCATTCTAAAAAGCTGTTTATTTTCGCGTGGACAACCAGACATAAAAGCACACGCGCACAATGGTTCCCATCTCTCTCCAAAATGAACTCTCACTGCATCATTTTTATCAGTTTGTTAATCTTTTACTCGTTACAGTTAGGGCTGGATCCAACCCAACCCAACCCAACCCAAATTGACCGGTTTGAGTTGGGTTTAGTCTCGAGTTATGAATTAAAACCCAACCCAACCCATGCTGATGAATTAAAAAATTTAATACAAAAATAAAAAACCTAAATCGATATAATAAGGGAGACGAGAAGGATTTAGAATGTAAAAATGTGTTCCTTTTTTTAACATAGGCTGATTTGTATGAATACTATGTACAAATGAAAATAATTTGATAATAAACTAAAAATAATAATGAATGAATAAATCCCAAAAAAATTATAAAAAGAAAATTCTCCATAGTTCAAAACTTATTTATAAATTAATTTTTTAGTAAGAATTCATTTTATAGGTTAAAACCTATAGAGACTTTCAAGTGGTTTTAAACTTTAAAAATTGTTTAAATTCAAAAAAACAAAATAAAAATTGAATTCAATTTGAGTTGGGCCCAAGCCCAAGCCCAAACCAACCAACCCCAACCCATTGAGTTGGGTTTAAACTAATAATTGGGTTGGATTGGTTTGATTTTAGATCAACCCGATCATGTTGGGTTGGGTTGGGTTGGGTTGGATAAAAAACAAAACCAACCCATGCCCAGCTCCACCTATACTTTTCCCAAAACACCAATTGTGAACTTGCTCATTAATGTCCACAATCTCTCTGCTTTTTGTCATACAGCAGCTCATATATGTTAGAAATGGTGTTCTTTAAAATTTTTATAGCTTACTTCTTTTTCTAATACTATGTGAATTTACAACAGCTGTACAAAACCAGTGACGAGAAGTACCTGCTCGATTTGCAGAGACTTAGTGGCCCACAGTTCCTCTTCCTGGATTTCTGTGCCATATTTATGATGCAGCTCGAGGTTTCTTAGTCATTGTATAGCAAAAACATGTTTGAATCAGCTTGTACATATAATTTCCCAACTGTATCTTGCAATCATGTTATCAACTTCTTGTTGTTTTTGCTTTCTTTAAAGCCCAAACCAAAGTCTGTATGTATGGAAGTTCTGAATTTTTCTCTAATCTTTTCTAACTTAAAAATGAAACTGTTTGCTTATTTGAATTGTTGTGGTTATTCTTGCATTAATCCTCTGTATGAGATGTTCTTCAAGATCCATGAAAATGGAAAGTTATAATTTTGATGATTTATTCATGCATATGTACATATTTCACTCCGAGGACTGGTAAAAATAGCTGTATGGCATATCAATTTGCTAAAACATAAGTTGTACTTACGGACACTTTATTCATCTTTTGACAAAATTTAGTAATATTCAGTTGACATGTTTAATATGTTCAGCTTTGTTTAATTCAGCGGAGTAAACATGTCCAAGTGTTTCATTACATTTCATATACTTTAAGAATAGTGAATTCTTTGTATTGAATACCTATGTATTTATCTTATAAAATGATAATAAATTAATTACTTTTCTTGATTCCGTTTAATTCCACACTAATTCCGTATGAGGTTTCGAACAACTAAATCTTTAGTGGGAACATGCTATATTAGTTTTGATTGACTACTTTCTCGAGAAACGAGGAGAAAATCATATATATTTGTGCTCAACTCTTTTGGATCATAATTTTTTTCTCATATCAAGTGTGAAGAACTAAGAGTATAATATAACAAGACTAGGCAATTGTTTATTAGGAAAGTGTTGACCTTCTCACAAAGGGGGTCACATTGACCAAACCCAAGTGATTGTTTACTAAGAATACTAGTCTTCACAAAATCGTAAAATTATTTATGTGGGTTGACACCTGTCCAATGTCAAAAGGTTAAGAAAGTTGATGACATCAAGATCAAAGTCCCAATGAATGATGATCGTACCTAACATGTTATTTCGTATCAACTAAGTTGTCAATATATTTTGTTCAGTTCAATACAAATTTCTATTAATGATATGATATTATAAAATGTAGAGGTTGTAAAGGGTAATTCTATGAACCATCTAACATAATTTCCTAGTGAGAGTGGACATAAGAAGAAAAAAAAAAAATTAAATTAAAAATTGAGCAATTCTTGTATAATTGGTTAGCATAAGACATTACAATTCAATTAGTAGATACAGCTTCAAGTTGTTAATCAAAATCCTTGGCGGGTTCCTACTTTCTGAAAAATATTGTTCATCTAAGACAGACAAGTAGCAGTCTTTCTTCCGATGAATTTGAGGTTGGCGATTTTAATATTGTTCATGTACTGAAAATCGAATACTAAATCTTAGCAAGTATTTAGTCAGCTCATTCCTCCTGTAACGTGCACACGCTTCGATTGATATTACTGTCATTGTAATCCATGGCTGCTTCTACTAATAATAATAATAATAATAACACCGTCCATGATCAAATGCCTCATATAAAGGCATAACTTCAAATTATTTCTCCATAAGACAAAATAAAATGAAAAGTCAGATATTATTCTGCATAAAACAATCTAAATACAACTCGAAATTCTCAGAAAAAAATTGAAATTGATTGAAAAGCTTAAGTGCATGCTCGATACACAATTACTGAATTAATATATTTTTCTTCCTTAAAGCGAGTTCTATCCAATCCTCTCGACTAAACACGCCATAAACAAATACATAAACATGAAAATGGTGTCAATAAACTTGTACAAATGCCAGTTCTCTTCTCCGGGCAAAATCTTCATCTTCCTTGAAATTTTTCTGCAAAAATAGGAGATCCCACAGCCAATCCAGAGTCATCACTGCTATCAACTATTAGCTGTTTTTCTGAGTCCTTTCTACAGAGCTGGTCCATATTAGCAACTTTTGCTTCTGTATTATCAGCAGGATCAAAATTTGTAGGGGACGTTCCCTGAAGTTGTAGGGCATACTCTAAATTCCATAGTACGTCTCCCATGGAAGGCCGGTCGACCCCGTATTCTGCCAAGCATTTTTCTGCAGCCTCCACATATTTCCTCAATGATTCTGGTGTTATGGTTCCAACAATATTGGGATCAATAATCGATTCGAGCAGGCCTTTTCTGTGCTGTTTCATAGCCCATTCAGCTAAATTTACCTGTTCTCTTGGAAGGGCAGGATCAAGAGCTGGCCGTGCACATAAAACCTCAAAAAGAACTACCCCAAATGAGTAAACATCAGATTTTTCTGTCAGTTGTTGTCTTCTGAAGTACTCGGGATCAAGATATCCGAAACTGCCCTTAACAGCTGTGCTAACATGCGTTTGATCTAAAGAAGCCGGTCCAGCTTTAGACAAACCGAAATCAGAAACTTTGGCTCCAAAGTTTTCATCCAAGAGAATGTTGGTGGTTTTCACGTCACGATGAATTATCCCTTGTGCAGAACCGGTGTGCAGGTAGTGCAGCCCACGTGCTGCACCAATGCAAATCTCGAGTCTTTGCCTCCACGATAAATGAGGCAAGCTTGAACCGTAAAGGTGATCGCGTAGTGGACCATATGCCATATACTCATAGACGAGGATCATTTCTGATTGCTCGTCGCAGTATCCAATGAGTGAAACGAGGTGGCGATGCCTGAGCTTGGAAAGCATTTGGATTTCCGTTTGGAATTCATTGATGCCTTGAGATGATGATGGATTACCTCGTTTTATGGCAAGCTTCGTCCCATCCTCCGACTCGCCAAGATAGACCTTTCCAAAACCACCCACCCCAATGACTGCTTGTTCATCGAAAGATTTTGTTGCTTCGTGTAGTTCATTGAGAGTGAAGAACTGGCCAAGATTGAGCCCTGAAGATACAAAACTCGGAAAAGTAGTACTCCTGCTGCTCTTGCTCTTGCTGGATAAGAAACTACAATGGCTGGCATTAAGTGGAAGAAGCCATGATGAGAAGGTTTTCTGTTTCTCATAACCTTTAGGACTCCTCAGTCGTCGCAAAACGCCTAATAACAGCAACGCTATCGCTGTTACCCCTAATGCTATAACAAAACCAACAGCAATTTTCATTTTAAGAGTAGGCCTAGAGTGTCGACCCCTGTAAGTACCGTCAGAAGAGAAGAGTCCATCCAAACTCCCTGCTGAGTTGCTCATCTTCATCACCTCGACACCATTTAAGATTGCATTCGGGAAACTAGACCGAGAAGTTGAGCTGGGGCCCACCTGAATGATGACAGAACCATTGGAAATTGCTGAGGCATTGATTACAAAATCTTTGTAATAAGGAATGCCTAGACCTGAAGTGAGTGTAGAGAGATCAAGACTTGAAACTCCAAGCATTCCATTGACATAGACATTGAAGTAAAGCTCATTAAGGACCTTGCTCACAATATCACAAAAATGCAATCTTATCAAATAAGAGAAGGTGGGATCCACATTCATCTCCCACGTGAGGTTGAAATTTGGATTCGAAACACCTGACTCTGCCATTTGATCAGCCGTTGCGTACACCCAGTGTGGGGCCGTCAAAGGGGTGGCGCCACCGTCTGGATATTTTATTATATCTGGTGGAACTGAGACATTTTTAGCCCCATGTGGGAAAATCATAAATTGACCATCAGGAAGCCATGTCCTCCACAGTGTGTCATTTTTAGGAGTAATGATTGGCCCTCCGACATTAAGCCTATAAGAAACTTCAAATGCATGATCATCTAAGCCATTGAAGTCCCCCACAGGAAAAACCGCAGATGCCGAATCAGTAACAAGATCATCAGGTGCTGAGACGAGCTCAATCGCATTAATGAACGCGAAAGAATTCTTCATTGGCGAAAACTTGAGGGTGAATTTATCTGATGTAATGTTGATTAGGTACTCTTTGAATACGCTTTTAGTACTATCCTTCACAGAAAAACCATGCAAAAGAACAATATTGTCTGTGGTGACAGTAAATGTAGCAGAAGTTAAACTGTAGGTGGAGTGAGGGAGAGGATAGAAATACAGTCTTAGCCAATGCCGGCCAGGGCGAAAGACGAGAAATCTGTACATTGATTCATGATTAAAAATCCTCGCCGTGAGATACAAAAGAAAGGACGAGGAAGAAGAAGAGGACGACGAGGAAGAAGGGGAGACATTTTTCGGTAACGAGGTAATAGAAGTAAGAATATTTTCGTCTGTGGAGAGGTAAGAAGCAGATTGAGGGTCAGACTTGAAGGTTCGACCATCATCGAGCAACGTACTGTCTGGTGCACCACAATTGATCAGATAATTATCAGCAGGCGTATAAGAAGAAGACTTAATGCCTAGTGCTACATCAAAACACAGAGAAGCAAGAATGAGAGAACAGAGACCTATAAAGGGAATAGAATCGAGTTTTCGCCACCCCCAACGTGCTTCTCCTCCCATGGTATCAGTGTTAGGCCGGTCGTGATGGAGGGGGAGGAGACAGTTTTGGTGAAATAGGCATGGAAGAAAACAGAATGCAAATGTCTAAAATGGTATAGAAGAAGAGAGTGTTTACCAAACACTATTGAACGATAGTTGTGGGCTGCATGATTGGGAAGAACGTGCAATCTTGTATATGTAAGAAGAGTTCTTGATTCTGACTTTTTATGCTAAAGAACATTAGGCAGCCAAAAGCCGGTTATGAGATGTTTAAAAAATGCTAAACTTGACCAGTACTGTATGCTAAACTTGACCAGTACTGTGTACTAAACACGAATTTCTTTTATTTATGTATTGAAGGTAACTACCAACTGTTTAGAGAAGCTGAAAGCTCAAAGCGTGTATCCAGCTGGGAAATGGCTTGAAATGACCTTCGAGGATTTAGTGTCATCTCATTTGAAAAAGATGTTTTAAGGGTCGTAGGACCTGTTATTATATGATAGTTGAGGGAATGGTGGCGGATTCAACGCCGGGAATGAGAATGATTTCCTCATCTATAAATTATTTATATTAGGGTCAGCTAGAATCGGGGACAAGGTCAAATACTATCGACACTACACTTTACTTCAGACATACGAGGCCTCGACCTCCATACGCAAAGAGATTTCCAAGAGCATGGACATCCCGACCTAGTAACAAATACAACAATTGTGCGTCTTTGATCGTTGGGCGTAAAGGTTTGTTCGGGATAGATTTAGGTCCAACTACTTTTTGTAGATGAGTGCAACCTTGAACGTACTTCCTATAAAGGTTCTTATAACTAAACAAAACACTTCCAGAAAATTATTCAAAAATAATTTTGTAGTCTCAAAAGCTACTTTTGACTTTTTTAAAAGCCATGCCAAACTACTGAACTAGTCCTGGCCCTATGGGATCTAATAATTGTCAGCACAGTAAAACAAAAGGGGAAAGATGTAACAAACGGATCAAAAATTTCTTTCTTACTATATACTGTAACATGATTCTGGGTTAGTTTCTTGTTACAATAAGAATTTTTAAGTCCATAGAGAGAGAAAAATAATTATTCTTCCTGTTTCTTTCCTTTTCTCAATCAAAATCCACTTGTATAGGTGGATCAAAGAATGTGGAATAGCCTGTACGTGAACATAAGCATATAAACAATCACGCTGTGGAATATTGTTACATATTTGATCGGATTCATTGTAGTCGACATCCTTGTTCTTCTGCCTTCATATAAACCAGTCCTCGATTGATCCTCTGCACCAAAATCCCATATGGGAGGATAATATGTGGTCAATAATACATGAAAATAAGTTTTGGCTATAATCGAATGGTAATACGCTGAAGTTGGTCCTAACATAAGAAGATTGAACATATTTGGAAGACAAATACGAATTCAGAAGCAATACCTCTTTTGTATTTCTTAATCGAAGGAGATCCAACCTTTCTGAAGGTCTACGATTTGTCAAGGTTGCAAGCTGCATTCATGCGTTACAATGTTAGCAAACTATAAACTTAAGAGTTGGTGGAATAAATGTGTGAAAATGTATACCCAAAAACTGAAACGCTCAGGATCCTGGGTCGAGGGCATTAATCCTTCCGCTTTAAAGAGTTCTGCAAGCCTTACTCGATCTGCAAGCAAAGCCTTCGCATTGATTATTAAGAATTGGAAGAATTCTCACATTATAGATATTGTCAATCATCATCATCTTAGTTACTCAGAAAGCTGAAAGACTTTTCTTGTTAACTACCTCCTTGTGCTGCTTCCTGTGCTGCCTTCATCCACTCACGAGCAAAAGTTGCTGCCTTGTTTGTCATCTCCATTAACTGTAGTTCCGCAAAATTAATTTTCACATACCAAAATGACATTCGAGGCTTGGGAAACTCATAACAAGCAGTCGAGCAGAGTATGAGAATTCTACACTAAATAGTTCATGTGGTAACAGAATTCGAATAATCCACCTCCTGGAGATCCAGCAATTTTGAGGATCAAGACTCAGTTTCAGACCATACCAAAGATTATGCAACTAATTATGGTTCTCAATAGAAATACAGATGTCTAACATACATGAAAGGTAAAATGACAAGAAGGTAAATAATGGTAACAGATATTAGCATTCCATGAAACTGCACAAGCCAAAGCCATATAAAACATCAAACGCGGAGAAGGAAGATCTGATACTTTTGTACATATATGATGCACTTGTAAAAACAGAAAACCCATGGCCCAACTTCACTTTAGTACTAATGATCCGTGTAATTTTTAGAAATTTCCCTCCAGAGAGCCTCAGAAGAGCTTCACAAAAACTGTGCACTGTATCAAGTCTCGTGAACAAAATGGCACTTACGTCATTTCTCTCTGCTGTCCCTTCTTTTGGATATATATCCTGCACCCATTCAACCTCAGCAATGCGGTACCTGCAGGAATAAAAAATAAAATAGAGTAAAGATTCAATTAGAAGAAGCTCATGTCGTGGTGAATGATTTTAATGTATATATCAACTGTCCAAGTATTAAACAGGTAATGAAATCTTACCCATCTTGCTCCCAATTCCGAATGATGCAGCATCTCCTGCGACTTTCAACCTATATCAGCAAGGAGACCAAAATGATTAGCTAATTATGGAAAGAGAGAAAAGACTGCAAAATTCATGCATATTTTAATTAGAATAACCATAAACGTTTCAAAATTTTCCTTATTAGTCCTCAGAAGTCCAGACATTAATCAAAAACCTGTTGATCAAGACCATCTCAAATTTTAAGAGGGTGATAATTTGTGGGCGGCTGCGGGTAAGGAGATACCAACAGATTTCTAAAGATTCAGGAACAAATTTCAAAACAATAATTTTTTTTTATATAGAAAATAAGTATTGCCCATGCACGGCAGAATGCTAAAAACCATCAAGCAACTGGGTCTGTATATGTTTGCTTTAGTTCCATTTTTGCCACTTTCCATGGACTAAAGCAAAATCTGGTTTAGTTTGGCAATAATAGATGGCCCCTGTAAAGGCTTGTGTAATACCCACAGTATTTTGCTAAATGAACAAGATGTGATCATACTTCAACCTGACATACGTCGAGGCCAGGATAGAACACAATTCAAGGTCACAAACCAGATGTCTCTCAGTACCAAAAGTAAAGACAATTAACAGTCATAAATAATACAAAAATTAAAATATGGTCTTTCTTCGTTATTGCAGCAAGCAGGCAACATCTATGAAAAATGAAGAGTAAAACACCAAGTACTGAAGATATAAACATAAAATTAAATCGTATTTTACCTCTAAAAAGAAACGTCCATCTGGAAGTGGCTCACAACTGCGTTAAGATCAGAAGTAATCATCATCTATGAGCCAGAAGCACCGATAAGACAGAACTCATTCTTACAGAAAAAATATGAACAAATTATCACTCCAAAACCTACTCTGTTATTTCCACTTCACATGCATAATCAGCTATTGAACCAGTAGACGAGTCAATTATGACCTACATCACCAAAAAAAAAGAGGCAATAGCCACGAAAACTGAGGAAATATAGGACCACGAATATTTCTTGTGAATATAACATAGAAGAAAACAGTAAAGGAGGGCCTGGTGAATGAACCTACCATTCCCATACGTCGATTTCCTTCCATTATCCTCCTCACCTGTTTCAATCACAATCAGAACGGGACTTCGAAATCAGCCATAAACTAAAAATCAGTTTATGCAAATGACTAAGTTGGCTGCACATCTCAATTAGTTGATAAGATGAGAGCCAAAAAGTTCAGCACTTCAGAATCTCATGAAGCACAATATCACCTCAAACAGTACAGCATTATTCAATTTTATTTGTTAAGAATTTCCTGATGGAAGTGTTCCTCATTTCTTGTGATAAGAATACAAAATGAATATGCTCGTTCCAAGCAAGCGTTACAGTCCAAGTATAATGCTTATATGAGATTTGCAAGGGGTAAAGCAAATGATATTTAACATGCATGAAAACCACCCGAAACAAATGCATGCAAACATCCATGCATTAAAGCACGTGCATATACGGTGTGGATTGCAGGTCAAGCTCAAAATTTAGTTCCTCCACAATGACAGTATTCCATATAAAGAAAGAAGGCCCCAGTTACCAAATGAAGTCACAGGTAAGCATGCATGGACAGCAAACTTAAACAAGTGCCCTATGCAAAATTTGATAATATCTTCATAAGTAAATTGCACAAAATAATTAGAACATCACTCTGCTATCATTGATCTAGACCTTCTAAATATCAAATGTCATCTCCAATCTCAGGGACTCTGGATGCACATTTCAACATAAGGTAATTTCTGGAATGTGCATCACAATTTTTTACGTAAATAAATTTTACCATGTCAATTTGATCAACTCACCATAAGTCTGTAACGTGGTTCAAAAATGTTAAGTTGAAACTTCTGGCATGGTAAGATAACATCCATGACAAAAAGAGGCAACAAGTCAACACCAGGGTTTGTCAAACTGTCATTCTCTAATCTCCTTTCAGCGTACTCCTCCGGAAAGTTTCTCTGTATGATGTTCTTCAATGTGACACTGTAAAATGCCAAGCAACAGTTACACTACATCTTCCATGTGAAATATGATCTCTGATATTTGCTTATTGACCCATAATTTGTGCCACTAATGTTTAGAAAAATTACAAGACAAAAGGAAAACTGTCACAAACGATCTATTAATTGCTTGTTTGGATATTTCTAAATTGAAGTTTACTCTTGCATACATTGCACCAAAACTTAACGTGTCATACCCACTCTCGACTCAGTAACACATTGCACATGTGTATGTCCCATTCTGGCCCTTTGGAAAGGGATATGAGTCTCCAACATGATACAAAACCCAAAATGATAATCCTCAACTACAGTTTACAAAGTAACATAAGTTCTCCTATCTAACATTATTTTTCAGTTATAATACATAATCTTTCTTGAAAATGCATTGCTATAACTATTTTCTATTGTCACATTTCTGTAATATATCTTAACGAACACCCTACAAATTGCTTACCTATGAATGGATTGTCCCCACACCCTCTTGTTCATATCCACAAGTCAACTTTTTGACCAAATTCTTGTGTCCTCAACTTCGACAACTCACATGACTAATATTTAAATCTATTGGGCCCATTTCTATGTCTAACAACTGTTCTCGGCCCAAGCAGCATCCCTTTTACTTAATCTCCTCACTATCCAGTCAATTCTTATGCAGTGTTCATCGAAATAAATGTCAATTCTCTCCCTAGTCACTAGAGATAAAATGCAATATAGTAGGACTAAATGATCCAAAAAATGAAGTTAACGTGCAGAATTATATGAGTGATTTGGTGGAAATATAATGACTAACAAAGCTAAAAACTTGTTTAAATTAGATGTTAAACTGTAAACAGCTAACCTTATAGAGCACGTACGGGGGCTAATGAACAGAACCGTTCGACAAAGTGGACATCTATTACCTAGAATATTTTATTCAAGAAATCAAAGAAAAGGAATATCAAGATGGTGGCTTTGTGAGAAATTCAGAAAGTGAAACAGAGGTCCAATGGACAGAAAAATTCACCTCTGTCCATAGTCTGAAACAGGCATGATCTGCAGAAAGAATGTCCACAAGGAGTTGTGATAGGTTCATACAACAACTTTAAACAAACAGTGCAGTCATAATCATCAGTACGCTGAGGGTTCACATGACTTCTCCTTGAAAACGTCTTAGCGGTTGATCTCTCCAAATTTAGAAGAGGACAGCTGCACAGGAAAATTTCATAGGTCAATTCATTAATAGCAAAAATAGCAGTATCAATTCAAATGATCAAATAGCTAAGAGAAAACATCTTGATGCAAATATTATGTTACCTACGAGGATCAACATGAAGGCCAGACCAAATAACATCCCGAGCCACCTCATACTTTTCTAACTGCCCAATAATATCAAAGTGGGCAAAAGTGTTCAAATGAAATATTCAACAAAAAACACTTCTAAAACTACAGAGTCCAACAATATAAGCACCAAGTCCAAGCACCATGTTACCAAATAAAAGAGAACCTGAACAACAAATAAAACTAAAATAACATCGAGGACATAGAAATAACGACTGACACTTAAATTAAATAACCAATAGATTGCTAGCATTTAATTTAGATAATTTTTAAACAAAGAATTTCTGGAAATAATTTAAACGTATTTCCAGGGATAATTCCTCCTTGAAACAGAATTTTGATTTTTATCAATTCGTAGGCCTAGACAATCCCAAAACTAGTTTTATTACAATTTGCTCTGAATAATGAGTAAATGTAAAAAAATTGAATTCTTACCAGAATTAGTGCATTTGCCTTCAGAATGTAAGGTGTTACTGAATTGCTTTGTAGATTCATCACCTTATCAGCGTCCTTCAATGCAAGCTGAAATTGGGGATAAAAAAAAAATTTAAAGTGTTGACCTATTAGAAAATGAGTAGGTAAGAGAGAGAAAAATGAGTGGAAATGGAAAACCATCCAATAAAGAAGGCATACCCCAGCATGAGTTGTGGGGTCCAATCCACTTAACGGTCTATATTCAGAAGCAGATGGAGGTCTATTTTTAAGAAAATGACTAATCCTGGTCCAAATTTAAAAGGAAGAAAACCTAAGTTAAGAAATAGAATGAAATGAATAATGGTGAAGTTCAATTTCAGGATAATCAAAAGTAATAATCATAAAAAATAATGTTCATCTACTTACCGAAGATATGCAGCACATCGATTGCTAAGAATAATAATATCACTGGGCTTTATGTTGTTAGCTCTTGAGTAAAGTTCAATTGCCTAAACAAAAACATAATCTATCAGCAAAAAGGAAGTAGATTATATAATATTAAGGCAGCAATTTATCTCCTTCAAAAAAATGTTAAACTGGGTCCATGTCATCAATACACACTTTTTGCCAGCATATAAGATCAATCACAATCTAAAAAAAGTATTAGGCTCTCCAGTTTGGGATGGCTATAACTTTCTCTCGTGCAATCCAAACAGGACCTTGCCGCCTTCTTCACTCACATACTATAATAAGTCTCGTAATGCTCTGAAACAGATAGAAACTGGTACAGCGTGCCATTTAATTCCAATCAGTCCAATTAGAATGCAATTCACACACAGCTTATAAAGGTAACAATACCCTATGGCTGTTCATTTTCGATATTGTCAAACTATATGCACATTGCCCATCACTGTTGGTTGTCATTCATTTATTCAAGTTCAGCTAAAGCTATGGTTGTATCTGGACGAAAAACTGAAAGGGATAGATTTGAAAGGTATCCTGAAAGCAGCCAACATAGGTAATTGGAAAACACTATGTCCTAGATAACATGACAAAACTATCACTGGATGCCAAAAATACAAGGAAATGGACACCGAGAGTAATAGGACCTCAGAAGATCGCCTAAGAAAACGTTGGTTACTCTTCAGCAAAATATAGAAGGGAATGTAATGTCCTGAATGAATTATCCCATGAAGACTACTTTAGCCTATTGTGCACCATCTGGAGTGAACCATCTTAAGATCCCAGACCACCGCCATCAGTATTTGCAACATTGTTCGAGTTCACATTTCAATCAATGACTGCACTGTTTTTATTTTGATTTCCTCAAGATGATCTGCCACTTCCCCACTCTTATCTTTTTAATAATGAAGCCAACACGGCAGTGTGAAATTAGTCGTTAAAGAATTTTACTTCACAGTCACTTCGCCACTGAATCTCACTTCAAGAGCGCAGAGGATAAGAATTGCGACTTTAAAGTCCAAGAATCAAACCCCGAAGTCATCTGGTTCACTGATTCTCCTCGGTAAGCTATTGAAGCCCATATTATTCTGGTTCATTTATCCTTTACAGAGTCGTTCTCGTAATTGAAATCTTGGTGCAGAATCACTTAAACTACCTAAACTTCACTCTAATCAAACATTTACCACTCAAAAAAAGAAAAAAGAATAAATTAAAAAGAGAAAAAAATAAAATAAAATAAAATTTTCCCAGAATAACTTTATTCTAAAGGGAAAAATTACAAATTCCAATGTAAAGATATGAAGAAGAAAAGAAAAGATTGAGAAATTCACCTGATCCAATCGGTTCTCACGAAAGGCCTGGTTCCCCATCTGCATGATATCATAGAGATAACTGTACCTCTCCCACGACATCGATGACCCTTCCCCTTCATTCCACTGCATTAACCAAACCAATCCAATTACAAACACATTTTTTATAAATACACACACATACGAACATTAAACTCTCACCCATGGAAAATCTTCAACATCATCAATCCCTTCCAGGGTAAATCGAGAAGAAGAGGCCTCACCCTCGCTCGACATTTTGGGAAATAAACAGAAATTGCCAAAATTTTCGAAAACCCAAAAGAATTTTCTTCACTAAATTCGGAAACAGGATAATAAATTTATGAACGCAGAAAAAAAAAGAATGAATGCAGAGATTGCAGCAGCGTGTTCCTCCCTGTACCCTTCGCAGCTTACTTGGACCGTATTCGTTTACGTGTTTTTCTCTCTATAAGTTTCATCACTATATTACTCTCTCTATATATCTATATGCCATGTGTGTAAGTTTTGTTAAAGTCGCCCCTCAGGGCACTTCTCCACTGGCAAAGGACGAACGCTGTTAAACCTGGCAGAGCAGAGGTCGTGAGTTCGAAACATGGGGCTCTTGGAAGGCAAGGATTTATTCTTGGAAGGCAAGGGAACATTTGGAAGGAAAGGATTTATTCTTGGAAGGCAAGTGGGAACTTGGAAGGCAAGAATTATTTTTGGAAGGCAAGGTGCAACTTGGATTGGCTTGCTTGGCACTTTGTCAGACCAGGTGGGGAGCGCTCGGACCCTGGCCAGTTGGAGGCACATCCTGCGATTAATCGGACTGTGTGAAGAGAGGCCGGATCACAGACCCAAGGATTAGTCTAGAATAGGACACCTTGTAAAAAAAAAAAAAAAAAAAAAAAAGTTTTGTTAAAGTCGTAAACATTTTTGTTCCTATTTTTCTTCCTCTCAAATCCAAATAAAACCCAAATTTTTACAGTGAATTTTGAAATAACATTTGACTGTAAATTTAGGTTTTAATTTTTTCTTTTGGAAGGTAAAAAAAATTTAGGTTTTACATTTAACCACTTTATCCATCAAGTTTGACATCATCTTTCATATCATGTGAGTCGAAAATTATTTTACATTGATTTTAACAACATTTTTTTCAATTAATGACCAGAATTTCTACTAATAGACGAACTGTCAAAACTGTTGTTATCGGCAGTGTACAAGAGACATAATTATTTCCATTTATATGCACATTTTATTGACTATTGTGAAAATGGAATGATGTGTTCCGTAGCTAAGCCCCCGTTTTGGTTTAGATTAAAAAAAATTTTAGTAGATTTTCATAATATGTGATTGAAAAGTTGATAAAAATTATGGCCCCATAAAATTTTAGTAGAAAATGAATTTTAAGAATTGGAGACCAAACTAAAGCTAAAAATGAATTTGACAAAAATCATTCGATTCTCAATTTTAATATCTCGGATTATGTTAGTTTGGTCTTGTTATGATCTGGTTCAAATGATTTCAAATAAAAATATCCATATCCCTAAATTGTTAAAATTTAAAGGAGCTCTCATACTCGAGGTGGCCAACACAAGAAAGCACGACTTTGTCTAACGAAGAACAATGTCATGGATGCAACCCTAATTATTTCTACCATTAGGTCGTGTTAGCTTGACTCTATACAAGCTCAAAAACCAGTTAATCTACTTTACCAAAGTAGACTAACGATTATTTGATATGATCTAGGTAGACTAACGGGTTTTGAACATGTTATTTATGATATATTATTGATCCAAATGTCTCTATGTTACAATTA